CTTCCAACCCAAACCACTCTATCATATGAATAAAAATTCAAATAATGGTGCATGTGTTGAAGCAAATTGCAATTATTTAACCAGTTAGAAAAAGAAGTTACCCTGTCTGCACTGTCTGGCAAAATTACGTATGAAAGTGTAAGTCAAAAAAATTTAGACTGGTTATGTCAGATGAGCTCCCTACCCATCACTATCCCTGTTCCTGGAGAGGGTGGTTGGATTGGCTGTGAAGCATGTTCCCGTTACTGCGATGTTAACTTCTTGCCTTTTTCTTTTTTTCCTTGAAAGAATAAGAAAAGCTTGGTGGCGTTTAAGATCATGCCTCTAGAAAATATGAATGAGTTCACCACACACATTCTAGAGATTGTCAACGCACACATGATGCTCAGAAAAAGTCTTACGGTACGTACGTACTTGAAGATCCTGGTTCCATCTCAGCCCTAACTGGGTTCCTGGTTATCTCCTGAAGAGAGGGACCTTTTGGTTGTTTGGGGAAACTGTACACAAGTTGGGCTGGAAAGCTTGAAGCTGTTGGAGAGCTACGGTGAGGATGTTACAGGAGTCCTGGCTTCCTTGGAGAGAGAGAGGTGGTGGTGCAGTCCATTTCCAGCGGTTTCTTCTTGGAATCTGTTTCTAATTACTGTCCCTCTGAAATAACATTGAGTCTTCAATGCTGTGGGCTTGCAGCAGCCTGGGTAACCACAGCAGTTTTAATGTTGTGATTTCAGTCAGCATCAAGAGTGCCTCAGTCGTTTCCCTCTGCTGGGCGCAGTGACATGGGGGGCTATGGAGGAGGTGGCAGTCTGTCAGTGAATGGACTCACGGCGCATCAGAGTCAGGTGGGTGCGAGCAGCTTCGCCAAGATCACAGCAGTTGCAGCGGAGTCTGCTGCGGCGTGATGGTAGGACACAGAAAGCTCAGCTGCTCTCTGAAGATGGGTGGTTCTTCCTTGGCCTTGCTGGCCGTCAGTGGTAGAGAAGCCTAGCTGTGTGCTAATGTGGTTCTTGCTTTTCCAGGTGCTGAACCTGATTAAAAACTGCCATGCCGCAGAAGGTATGAGTCTTCAAGAGTTGAAACTTCAGCTCCAAAATATGAGCATGTCAGCAATCAAGTAAGTCTGTAGAAATGAAGGATGTTCTGGAAATCTAGGCAGTCCTTCTTGGAGTCTGGTGAAAGAAGCCAGAGAGGAAGATAGCAGGCAAGCCCAGATCCTTGTTTGTTCAATGCCACTTGTGATTTCAGATGGTCCCAGTAGGCTGCAGTTGTGAGCCAGAGCTTCTGAAGTATTCCAGCAGCTTAGAATGAGCCACTGTCAGTAGAAGGGGTGATAATTTGCTTCGCTTCCTATTTTCAGATCAAGCTGCTTAATAGTTCAGTAGCAAAGTAGTGGGTACCTGGGAGTACCGCAGTGCGTCAGCAGTATTTTCTCCTGTTCAAGGACTACCTTGCTCTCTGCACACCAATCAAAGCTTGGGAATAGACTGTTCCTGTTCTCCTTTGCTGTCTCTTACAGCTTCTGCCTGAGACTTAGAAAACTAGTGAAGCTTAAAGACAGTAATTAACGTCCATTGCCTCTGTGTTCTGTCCCCTTTGGAGCAGAATTGTAGGTACTGCTTTTACCTGGGAAGTACTGAGAGTGGTGGCCTTCCCCTCTGTGGCATGCAGCCTAAGAGTGGCTGGGGGAGCATATGGCCATAGCTTTGGAGAAACTTTATGTGCCTACTGGCTGGTGGAGCAGCGCTCAAACTGCTCGTGGGATAGAGCCACCAAGAGCTTCCTTTGGCAGATGCCAGAGAGGAACTGCAGGGATGGGGTCTGTAAGCAGGAAATCTCTGAGAAAAAGGTGTTGAACTGGTTAGCAATCACTTCTTTCTTTTATTCAAAGGCAAGCCGTTGAATTCCTTAGCAGCGAGGGACACATCTACTCCACTGTGGATGATGATCACTATAAGTCAACGGATGCCGAGTAAAGTTACTTCCAGATGCATTTAGTTCTAAGCAATTTCTTGTCCATGTATCAAGTTATCCTGCTGAGCTTTGCTCTTTCCAGCCTGTAAAAGTCCCAGTTACTCTGTGAATGTCTCTTTGGAATTGAAGGGAAAGCAGCATGTGTAGGATTCTGTTAACTGGACTTAGTTATATGCTGTGACCACGTGACTGAAAACATAACAGGCATGGGAAAACTGAACTCCTCGAAGCTTCAGAGCCTTCAGTTTGGTTTTGTCCCCTTAAAGGATGCCTGTGTTACAAAGAAGAACCTCTTTCTAATCTTGTCCTGGGCAGATTGACTTTTGTTTGTAGAGCTATGGTTCCTGACTCCTGTTTCATTCACAAAGTGGGTAACCAAGAGTAATATTCCACTAGTGTACAGTAATCATTAGATTTTTTTAGTTTATGCATTTAAATCTATATTTGTACTCTGAGGTGATCTTGTTACTAGAGCACTTGATTGTTTCCAATAAAAATCTAACTTGGGTACTTTTGCATGTGTGTGGCTCTAGAGGCTCTTTCTCTTTGAGGAAGAAAACTGTGTTGACAAACCCTAGCTGTGTGAGTAAAAGCACAGCCTATGCTATCAGAATTTAACAATGGGGTTTTTTCCTCAGCTTCTGAAGTAAATTGCTTTAAATGTCAAACTGCAGTGACTCTCTGGACATGAGGAAATTAAATAATTGTGCTACTGAAGAAAGCTACACGTCATATCAGTGTTCCAAATATAGTCAGGGTGATTTCTGCCCACCAAAAGCTCAAAAGAATTGTATCTTGTGGTACAAGTTTTTCTTTTAAACTACTTGTAGAGCGTAACAAAAAATCCCACAAAGTTAGGAAACAGCAGGGTTGATAGTGGTGATGCATCAGGGTGGAGATAACAGATTTTCACCCTGGTTTCTCCGCACAATCCTGCCTTGTTCAGGGAGGCAGCGTGCTGAGGGCAGCTGCTTCAGCCTATTTCCATCCTCTTAGTCATTAGGACTAAGTCGTCCTCCTATTAGTCATAGGAGCATTAGTATGCTTCCTGTTACGTAAATTGCAAAGCTGAAAACTGCCTTCTGGGACTTGTTTTGCATTTGTTAAGGCAGCGTTTCAGGAGTTCATAAATACTCCGGGACATTTTTCACCATGATCTTGTAAGGTGTAGCTGTGCTCACAAGAGGAATTGTGGCTTCTGTGGTGAAGGCCTTGCTGAGAAGCAAGACCCAGGACCTTTCAAGCTGAGCGCTTGGGAGACCAAAGGCACGTGCTGCCTGCCGGATGAGAGCTTGGTTTGCTGCGCTCGCCTAGCCAGTCCTCTGCTTCACATCGAGTTCCATGGCACCTCCTGGGAAACCAGCACACGCAGCCAGGGCTCCAGGGCTGGTTGTCTCCAGGTGCTTTGGAGGCTGTGAGCTGTGGGGTTTGTGGTTCCCGGGAGTGGTGACGTGACCTGGCTTTGAAAAAGTGCTTCTCCCTGTATGCACGTACATGGGGCTGGCTGCTGGGACCAGGGCATCTGCTCCTGCCCGGCTCTGGCTCAGAGTGGCTTAGCTGTCGCCCACTGCCAGGGCTAAACTGCTGCAGGGTATGCAAGGGGGCAGCTTCCAGGCTATGGCCTCTGGCAGGCCTAGAGGCCAAAAGTATTAGTATTGTCCTTTCCCTTTTGCAGGAGGTGTGCAGGTTAGGAAAAAAATCCCTGATCGCTTTGGAAGTGAAGACGAATGAAGCAGCTTGCAGTGAAGAGAGCAGCTGTGAGTCTGGACAAAACTCTAGGGATGTAACTGGAGAGATATGCTGGGTTCAGTCAGGAAAG